TTTGTTCTCGCAAGAAATACCATTACAGTTACCACACAAGCATTAACATGGCATATTGGATTTTAAACATGTACCACTGCGATTAAAAAAAGTAGTACAACAAAATATGATTTAATCTGCTGGTCTATATTCTTATGTCATTGTCACGTAATTTTTAAAAAATGCCTTTAACTTCAGAGCAAAAATCGATTATATTTACGCGATTAAGGGATGGGGTTCCCATAAGGGACATTCCAGATGCATTAGGGATAAACAAAAAAACAGTGTTGTTGGCTAAATCCAAAATTCAATATAATTCAAATATCCTTATAGACCAGGAGTTCCATCTGGGACTACTAATTCTTGTACTACTTTTTTTTTATCGCAATGGTACAGAGTTTATTACATCCAGATTTGCAATTACAGTAAATCATTTTCAATACAAATTCTGGTGCCACTGCGTTTGACATTGTTTTTGGAACTAAGGTATCAGTTTTTTTACTCCATCCACATTCTGTTGCCTCTTCTCCGTTATTTAGCCAATACTGCATTTATAAATAGGTCCTATAATAATGATTTTCAGCTGCGTTAGTTGTTGGAGATAAGGTAGCTAAATCAAAGTTTTTACTATAAGTACCTGATGAGATGTAAAGGCTTTATATTTAAAATACCTCAATTGATCTAAATCTTTTGCTAGCCTATGTCGACCATATAATGAAAATAAGAATGTATTTCCAGCTTCGACTAGCTCAGATTTTTGTGCTGCAGGATCTAAAAAAAACGGATGTAATTTGTCGCAGATGAGGATCTTTTTGCAACGTTTTGAAAGTCGCCAGTTTACATTACATTTTATTTTTTTCTTCCAACCTGTAACTGCCTGTAACCTAATTTTTCAAACTGTCACTGTATTTTTAAAAACAAGTTGTTTACAAAATGGTAACAATAAGATCTTGGTTTAAGTGCAAATAGCCCCGACCGGGACAAGGTGGAGACTGCTTTCGCACATTATTAGTACACATGTATTTAGTAAAGGATAGCTTTGACAATTTTTGTTAATTTTGAAATATTATTAAACCACCAATAAAAAATATTTCTTGAAAATGTCACAAGGATTGTATTTCAGTTGAATTGATGCTAAATATCCATGTTATTTGTTAATAAGCTTAAAAAATTAGTAATTTGCATTTCGGTGATTCCTTTTAAAAATTTCTCGATTTTCAAATCTTTTTTGTAGGATAATACACTATTTTTTATTGATTCTAATAGAGTTTTTTATTCTCTTTAATTTTTACCTCTTGAAGTTTTTCGCTATAACAAACCGTTTTCGAGCTATTTACATTTTTTCCCAAAAAGTACCAAAATTCAAGATGGCGGCCGATTTTTTTTGATGACGCACACATCGGACAAATGTGGACTTTTAGTATGTTAATAAGGGTTACTAAGGCTAACTATTTTCAATGGTCGCAGCTTTCTAAAAATTTTTGCAATTTCAACATGGTGAATGTCATAACTGCACTGGGGTATACAGAGGACTGAACAGATCGACTAGATCTTAAATAAGTAAAAGAAGAAGAAAAACAATTTTTTGGTTTCGTATTTCTAAGCAACGAATCTCCCTGTATATATAAAATTCGTTTCATCTCTTTCTCTCTCATAAAACTCCGTCTCACACACTGCCATTGACGTCACGAGATAAGATATCCCGCGGTCTAATAAATAGTGCGCGAATCGACAGCCAGGTGGTGTTTTCGCCGAGCCTGGCGGTCTAGCAAGTCGATTCCGCTCATTTAGTGCGTCATTTCAAATTTTTCACCGTCCAATTTTCGATCGGTTGTTCGCGGTCGCTTTGTTGTTTTTTCGACCGAGAACTTCTCTAGCGGTTTAAAAATAGATTTCCGGCTATTTTCGGTACACTCTGTAGGTGACTTTTGAGCGGATATTTATTTTTTCGAAAAATTATAAGGAAATCAGCTTGGTGGGCCGTAGTCATGATTGTGTGCGATAACTTGTTGGCATCGGCCGCTTCGTCGACTCTGCAGCTTCAATTGAAGTTGTTAGCATTGTAAGTACCTTTATTTTTTCTGTTTTCTTTGTTATATTGGGTTTTTGAAACTAAAAGTCCTAAGCTGCACATTTTATGCTCGAATTTTAGTTATTTTATTCATTCAACCGTGCCACACCAGTTCAACATTGTTTTTATTGGTTAAGAAAAACACCTTCATACGAATATATGTCCTGAGTATCTTAACTTTTGAGATACAGGGTGGTAAAATTTTCGTAATAACTCTGATGTTATTATAGATATCTTTAAGAAATTTGACACGCGTCTATTATGCATCAAAATCATAGATAAAAGAAAATAATCTTCTAAGATCAAAATACAGTAATGCATTTTGATGCATGTTTAGAAATGAATGAACATTTTGATTTTGAATGAAAACTTCATTTCCAAGCTAACTCTGACGGCTTTTTTTCGATGGTATGGTATTTTTTTAACTTAAAAGAATACCGTTGATTATATGCGAAAATTTTTGTCAAATAATTAGCAAAGGCGTGCCAAATATTTTTAGCAGCTTCATAATAATTATCACATGCTTGATATCCTTTGGTGATGAGTGCAGAATTTGGAATTCTATAAACTCAGGGAATAAATGTGCCGGTTACAATGCTGTTAATTTTAATAAAAAAAAATATGGGTACACATGGTGGCGCCTCTCATACGAAGGAGAATGGTGCTTAATATCGAAATAGAATTTTGGGAACATATGAAGGTTAATTTTGTTCTACAGGGTATCCCAAAAAAAGTTACGCATCAATATTGTTTTTTTTGTTGTAATGGAACACCCTATATATTAATTGATTTTCGGATTCTAGGGAAAAAATAAATGTGTGTTTTATTAAAGACGTATATGGCTAAAATGCAAGGTTTTTGACATATTAAACATTTTGTGAAAATGAAAAATTTTAAATTTCAATAACAAAAGTACCGAAATTCTAATTTACTCTGTATAGCCTGATATTTAGTTAAAATAACCATTGTATGTTAAACCCTTTGAATAAGAAGACTAAGGAAGGAGCATATCAAAAATCTTAGGTCCACCGCGATGGGCCTTAAATATGGCCGACTTAAATTCCGGTTTATCAGTGCCGTTCTAATTTTATTTAAAAAATGTAAAACTATGATGTATGGTAGACGTGGGGTAGACTCAATAATATGTTGTTTTATTTGACGTTGTGAATAAATGTTGGTAGTTATTAAAATTGTTACAAAAATATATAATTCTAATAAAAATAGATAAGTTATAATAATTATTTATTAACACAAACATCCGATACGCTACTGAAGCAGGTAAATCTGGTAAATCAAATTGATGTATCTAAATTCTTTGACATCTAATTTTTGAGAAGTAGTAAATAAAAGCAAAAATAAAAGAAAAAATACATAATTAGTTAATTTAAGTGAATTTCATAAATGATCGGTTTACTACACGTATGTATATTAGATAGTCACTTACTAGCGAAAAGTTGTTCCATTATTTCACTCGATTTTTGCCGAGATCTACCGCACGCTACACAACCAACTATTTTAGAGTCTTTTTCGATAAATCGCGATAGTGATGTTAATTTAAGTTCTGCCACAATTTCCATCTAGATTTACTACCTTTATACAACTATCAGTAGTAGAATAAATAATAAATAACATAAAATAAGCTCCGTAAACACTGACAAATCCATAAAATTTCAAATCAAATTCAAATATGTGTCAAATGAATCGTCAAACAGAACTGTCAAGGATCCCCACCCTAGAGTGCTTTTTCCGCCCACCATGCATGAATACATGGATAGCATTATGCTCCTTCCTTAGTCTTCTTATTCAAAGGTTAAACCAAATTAAAATAACCTAACCTAACCCGAAAAGTTATACAGGGTGAGAGAAAATTAATATTGAACATTGGTCACTTTTAAAAGCTACTCCTTTATTTTAAATAGAACACCCGGTATATTATTTCAATATTTAATGGATAATTGTAAATGTAAATAAATATTTTGGAACTCTTCTATGTTTACTGATCTTTCTGTCTCTAAAACTGACTAATCCAAAGTTTATGTATGATTAATACTTTCTTTTATGACTTGAGAAAAAAATATTTGATATTTTCTGTCTTTTACTAACCAATGCGATTAATGGACATGTTTCACTTTGTATACCCACCATTGATGTCAGCGTGAAATTATTTATAGATTTTTTAGATACACATGTTTTTTGGCTTATTCACTACCGAAAAATTTCGATACGAATGAGAAATATTTTTATTTTGATCGCAGGGAGGACGAAAATAAGATACGCAAAGGTCGGTGCTTTAATCTCAGGCTTATTTTAAAACCCTGAAGGCCGATTTTGGGTAAATACAGTGTAAACAACATTGCCACTTGAGGAATTTGATTTTCTGATTGACATCTATCACCTGAGTCTTTTATCGTATCCACCCTATTTTTTTACGGTTTTTCTTGGTTATTCCCAGCATATTTCGTTCCATTGAGCGTTGCGCGACCTGCAGTTTCATTATAATATCCGTTTTAAGTTGGTTCCATTTAAAAAAAATGAAACTTTGATGTGCCACGACTTTATGACCGACCCTGTATACTTAAATTTATTACTCGCTAATAGAAATTTTAAAATCCTATAACTTTTGTTTTTAACTTTTTGCGGTACCTCCTATAGTTTACCTAATAATCGACCGTAACATAACAGCGACCCTGTATATAGAAATAATAACTAAATATGACGTCACGTCTCTTCAAATATTAAGTAATGTGGCTTCGGGCATCTATACAGAATTTCTAAGTTATTTATTTTAGGTGGTACGCCGCATTCTCGCGAGACCCTGTATGCTAATAAAAAATACTTGTCAAGTACACAGTGGCACAGTTAAAATTATGTTATTTCCCTACATTATCTCAAGAGAATTTATGAATATTTAAATTAATACGAAAATAATCGTTTTTTTTTGTTTTTCCAGGAACGGTATCTATCCACTGACGGCTTTCAGTGCCAAACAGGCTCCACTGGTCCGATCCAGGGCCATATCACCGGAAATGGCGGAATCTGTCAAATCCGTCACGCCCGAACCGACTGATGTAGAAAATAGGAAAATAGTTAATATGATGTGTGATGTTAAGTCCAAAGAAGAAAGCTGTGATTTATTGGTAAGACAGACTGTTACACATGCTTACACTTCTTAAACGTTATTTTGAGATAAAGTGACATATTCGACGTTAAAAGATAACCTTAATCGGTTTTATGCAAGGTGTATAAATCTGGCAAGATATTGTGTATTACAGTGAGATTACTGTAAATCTTACAAAGAAGCTTTAAAAATGTTACTTACTTACTGCTTTTACTCGCTGACGAGTATTTGACACGCATCAGAAGATAGTTACGCATGGCGTTTTCTTTCATGAGCTTTTCTGTGACTGAAAAGCCCGATACGTGATGTTATCTCTCTTCCGCGTTCCGGACATTCAAAAATCTCATTACTTTGTTGCCTCTTAACTTTTTGGTTGTCGTTGTTAACCGAGTTTACAATTCTTCTGCTACGCTGCTTCCTCCCACTGATTTTATATGCTTATCCCCTTTAAATTTTCGTGGAAAATAGCTTTGTACCTTTTATGTTGTCCACTTAGTTTGCTCTTGCCAAAGTGTACAAACTCACCGTAAAGAAGAGATTTCGGTAGGCGGTTTTCTTGCATCCTGCATACGTGACGAGCCCATCTTAAGTGGGATTTAGCAATCATAACTTCAGCGCTCTCACAGCTAGCCTTTTCAAGGATCGATAATTTTGAGACATGGTGGTACCATCGGATTCTTAACAGTTGTCTAAGGTGTCTCTGTTACAATTTGTTTAATGCGTTCATGTGCCGGCTGTACGGCACCCAGGTTTCGCTTCCATATAACACGGTGGGGATTGGGGATATTGCTCGGTACACTGCAAGTTTCGTTTTTGTACTCATGTCACAAATTACCTATAACAGATGCGAAAGAAAGCGACTGCATCGGAAACCGCTCGGCAAACCCCACACGCCTATTGAGTGGTAAATACACCAGTCGTTTAGTCCGGAAACTTATGCTGTGTCGTATTCGCTTGCTGGAAGGACATAGTGCGTGGTTATATGTTTCTTTTTAAAAACGGGTGTAGGATTTTTGTTGAACTTTTGAACTGTTATTTCTAAGTTTTGGTAATTTGTATATCTTATTTAAAATGGGATACAAATGTGTTTATTTATAAGGAAAAAAAAGATATTTATAGTATAAAAATTAATTTATTTAACAAAATTAATTAAAAATGTGACAAAATAGTACCTTTCTATTGGTTCTATCGGACTTTTTTCGACTATATAAATCTTTATTTGTAAACTTTAATACATCAAATATTTTCAATCTAATAAATCATTTAATGATGTAAATAAGAGGAAATTTCTCACATGGGTGGTCAAATTCTATAGTTTTCATTATATCAAACAGCCTCTGAGAAATGTTTTCAACTCAAAATGCCTTTAATTATGTTTGACTACATCAATTAAAAGGGTCTTCAAATACATCAATGTGATATTTGTCTAAAATTTGCAAAAGAATCCGAATCTCTGGATAACTCGAAATTATTTACCCATTTAAAAGCCTTTGATCATGAAAGTGGAAAAATTTGTTCATTTTATTCACTGGAAATAGAAAAATTATTTATATTAAATTTTGATGAGTTTTGCACTGAAGAAAACATTCAGAGGCTGTTTGATATAATGAAAACTATAGAATTTGACCACCCATGTGAGAAATGTCCTCTTATTTACATCATTAAATTATTTATTAGATTGAAAATATTTTATGCATTAAAGTTTACAAAAAATAAAGATAGATAGAAAAGTAACTATTTTGTCACATCTTTAATTAAATTTTGTTAAATAAATTAATTTTTTATACTATAAATATCTTTTTTTTCCTAATCTCCTACGAACTGATATAATATGACGAGCAATCTATTAAATTACTGTGAAATTATATGCCTCGATAACATATTGGTGCAGATTATTTTCACCCAAACAAATAATAACCCAAACTATACATTGATGCGGATTGTCTATGAACTCTTTCTGAAGGTCACAGAAACCTGAACGCGTAATTCGGTGTTCTTTCGCATCTGTTGTAGTTAATTTGTGCTCATGTCATGATTGTAGAAAACCCTGTCTTTTAATTTCCAGAAAGCTCTCTTTCAATTTCTGAATTTTAGAGTCGATATATTGGCCTTTTCCGAAATCTAATGTTAAATGTAAAAAATGTTAATTGATAGTTCCCAGACTAAAAACATGAAAATTAATTATTGAGCAAGTTTTCACTAATAAGTAATTTTATAACAATACAAGGTGAGTTTCCTACGGTGTTCTCTGTGGGTATCTCGGAAACTACTGGAGATAGAGACTCGGTTAAATGGGGAAAGAATTGCAGTTTTGTGGGGTCATAAATATGCGCCTTTCAGATTTTTGAAAAAGTTCATGGCTTACTAGATATTTCGAAAAAAACAAATTTTGGCTATTTTATCTCTAATTCCATTATAAGCTATTTTAGACAAAAAGTTTTCAGATGAAAGTTGTAGATAATCACATCCTTAATGAGATTGTATCCTCCGTTTTTTTTTCTAAAGCCTGTCATTTTTGAGATATGACACAAACATATGTTTTTTTTAAATGGAAACCATAGTTGGCCATGACTTCGTAAAAAGTAAAAGTAATATGTTTTTTTTTTTTCGAAAAATTACTGAGTTATAGCCAATTCTTATCATTTTTAAACAATTTCACTTAGTTAGTCATGGAAACAAGTTCAATCATCTTTGCTCTCAGAAATGTAAAGCTGTCACATCCAAACTTTATAAATTAAAATAAACAAAAATTGTAAATATGAATTTTTCAAATGAAGAAAAACCTGTAGGATTATTGGTTCAACTTTTCTTGGCCATACATTTTCGAGGATACGTTGACCGGTGAATGGTAACTAAAGAGATATGTTAAAAAAGCTAAATTTATTTATAGCTAATTCTTAGTTTTGAGTTGCATCTTTTAAAAGTGAATTACTACCTAGACTCACAGAAGGACCTGTCGACTTAATTAAACTTCTCTCGTACCGCCATCGCCACAACGAGTGTCTCTCTTAATTCATAAGTTTTTTTTGTGTAAACCTTATTGTTAACCATACCGCATAAAAAAATCTAAAATGGATAGGTCAGGTGATCGAGGAGGCCCATGCAATTGGTCCACCTCTTCCTATCCCTGCATTATTATGATATAAATAATTTTTAACATTTCATTATATACTCTATTGATGCTCGAGTATCTTACATGCTCTTCTTAACTTGAAAAATTCATATTTACATTTTTTGTTTATTTTAATTTACAAAGTTTGGATGTGACAGCTTCACATTTCTGAGAGCAACGGCGATTGAACTTGTTTCCATAGCTAACTAAGTGAAATTGTTTAAAAATTATAAGAATTGGCTATAACTCAGTAATTTTTCGAAAAAAACGTATTATAGCTTATATCGCTGAAAAGCTTGAAAAATAACGCTTTTTATGAAGTCATGGCCAACTATGGTTTCCATTTAAAAAAACATAAGTTTGTGTTATATGTCAAAAATGACAGGCTTTAGAAAAAAACGGAGAACACAGTCTCATTAAGGATGTGATTATCTACAAATTTTATCTGAAAACTTTTTGTCTAAAATAGATTATAATGGAATTAGGGACAATTTTTAAAATAGCCGAAGTTTGTTTTTTTCGAAATATCTAGTAAGCCATGAACTTTTTCAAAAATCTGAAAGGCGCATATTTATGTCCCCACAAAACCGCAATTCTTTACCCATTTACCGACTCTCGATCTCCAATAGTTTCCGAGATACCCATAGAGAACATCGTAGGAAACTCACCCTGTATATATCTATTTGTCAAGAATCACTACAACGACAAGTGAAAAAGTTGTGACGAAATTACAAATTTTAAGCTTGAAAATAGTCAAAGTAAAAAAAATAAATGAATCAATACCTAATCCCTTTAATAATCACTTTGTTAAAAAAGATTAAATTTTACTGATAAATCGACAGGTTATACATCGAATATCAGTTCAAAATTGTTATTATTTGAAAAAAATGGGTTTGTAACGTTTATAATAATAATTTTATCAGATATTGAGAGAGATATATTGGAACTATTTATGAAAAGGTTATTTGCGAATATTGTTATCGCTATTTAGTTTACCTGTATGACATCATGCTTGTGCAAACTGATATCTATTTTTAGATCGTGCATATATATTTTTATGTATACTTAAGTACCAAAATTGTATCATCATTTGTTTCAGCCTAACTTAGTTTAGGTAAAAATAATCTAGAAATATTGATACAACTAGGAAATACATAGTCAGTTTTATAGAAAAACAGAGAGTCAATAAAATATTATATTTTTAATTATATATTCTTTCATGTAATAGTCTCTTTGTAATTACCTCCATTGTTGTCCAATGTAGACTCTGTTGACCCAAGTTATCCCTACTAATTGGATTGATTATCCCTACTATAGGATTGGAAGAAAGAAACGCTTACTCAGCATATAAAAGACCATACCATCACGTGGTATACTGATGCTTCCAAAACCAAAGCAGGGACAGGGACAGGAGTATTTGGGTCGAAACTTAAATACTCCGATCCAATGGGCACCTACCCCAGTATCCTTCAGGCAGAAATTTACGCTATCGAAAGAAGCGTACAATTTATCTTAGATAGGAACTATCGAAAACAGGAAATTGCCATCCTATCCGATAGTCAAGCAGCACTTAACGCGATCAACTCAGTAACCATCAATTCGAAGTTGGTCAAAGAATGCCTAGAGAAGTTCAACAAATTAGGCAAAGAAAATAAACTCCTCCTACTCTGGGTGCCTGCTCACCAAGGGATAGAAGGCAATGAAAAAGCAAATGTTCTAGCTAGGAAAGGAGCGAACACTCCACTAACTGGACCAGAACCGTTCTGTTTTCCAAACGGGAACCAACTGAAGGCGGAACTGAAAAATCTGGAAGACTCCATCCGTAACTTGGATTGGGTGTCCTCCAACGGTCTAAGACACTCGAAAAAGTTCCTCAGAACTTAACGACCGAGAAAAATCAAAGGTTCTCCTTGAATTAAGTATAAACAATCTTCGGATTGGCACGGGATTTCTAACAGGACACTGTCTCCTCAACGAACACCTCAGTAGGCTAAAGCTGAGAAACAACGGCAAATGCAGATTCTGTGGGGAAAATGGGGAAACACCAGAACACCTTATCACTGAGTGAGCCGAGACGACGACCTTCCAAGCCATAAACTTTGGTACGTCTGATGTCGAGGATGGAGAGCTGGCCTCTGTGGAGCCGTCTCAGATACTGGCCTTTGTTAAAGCCCTGAGACTGTATGATGAGTTATAACTCGTTATAACTCAAGAAAGGGGAACACACAATTAGATTTATAAGGTCGCGGTGATTAACTCCCCTCCTAAACATTCAATGGTTCATAATTTTCACTAAATAAATTTTTTACTAATTCGGTCGAAATTATTTTATTGACGCTCTGTATATATAGAAATAGAAATAGTATGCGTACATACTTCTATATTCGTTTTATATTTTTAGACATAGCAACAAAGATTTATTTGAGTTAATATTTTGCGAATTCTCCATGCACAGGTGTCTTACTGTAGGTAAAATTTTTGAAAACTAATTTATATTTTGGCATACATTTCAAACAGATATACGGAAAAAGGTAGTCTTATTTTTAGACTATTTTTGACTGACATAACTAGATAAAAAGCCAACCATTTTATGTCTTAACTTAGTGAATTTTTGAATATTTAGTTTTTTATTAACTTTGTTTATTAAAAGCAAATTTTTATTTTACTTAAGGATTTTTTTTATTGTTTCAGTTGACAATTGTTTTGCGTATGGATGACAAGATGAATAGGCATTTAACTAGTTGTATTTCTCCAAAAGATAACCCCAAAATACTTGCACAAGAATTAGTACATTACGGTTTTGTAAATGAGGTGAGTACAAGAAATTACGTTATTTAAATTTTAAAAAACCTTAGGGCGTGTCCATTAACTACTTGAGACGTTTTTGAAACTATCAATTTACCTTGGTATGCTGCTAGGTAACGAGTAGTTCAAATGAACCTTCTTTAAAATACTTCACAACCAGATTTTTTGGTTTTATAATAATATAAACCAGAGAAAACTACCCGTAGACCATCCTCCATATTCGCCAGATTTAGTTCCATAGACAATTTTTCAAAAAATGACTTCCAGTTCGTATTTACAGATAAAATTAAGGATTTTTTTTGACAATTTAATTAATGGACGTTCCCTTAATGAAATAAACTGTTTGTTTGCCTTTATAGGCAACGTTTTTTGCTGTACTAATCTGTAATAATAAAGGGATTTTTTTTTTATTCTAGGAGGATCGCGAAAAGATCGCTACACTGATAGAGGAAACGTTACTGAATACCTCATCGGATCAGAACAGTTCAACGACGAACCAAGACAATGATAGCAAAAACGTAGCGAATTCTATAACAACCGTTCCAAACACCACACAACCGGCAATGGTAAGCATCAAACAGTCATTTTTTAAATAAAAAATCTCAATTCTAGGCAATTTTAAAAATGGAATTAAAAATATCCCACTTCTGATTGCTTGGAAATGGGATTTTTTCATGCATAAGTACCTAATACTTCTATATCGCTGGTAAAGACTTTAAGCATGCGCAACAAGATATATAACGCTATAAACAAAGGTAGATAGAAGAATAGGGTGGGTCAAAAAAATGGACTATTTTTTTTTCACTTTCTTCAAAAATTCTCTCCAAGTATGAGCTGTTAATTTTAATAGGAAGTATTAAACTCAGTTTAAAAGATATTCATCGTAAAACTTCAACGCACAATAATTTTAACAGTTTTTGATTAACAAAAACGATTTTTCTATAATTTTATAGTACACAGTTTAAATTGTGAAATTACTTCTTGTTTCAGGTGACGTCGCTGCCGAACTCAGTGGCGTCCGCCAAGGTGCCGATGCACACCACCAGTTAGTAACAGAGTGACGACGCGACCCCCTCCCAGGAGGCTCCTCCGTGCCGCCAGTGGAGCAGTCGCGTCCTTGCCACTTCTACTACTACTACTTCAACTACCCGTCGCCCTGATAACGGCAACAGCGCATTCGCGCCAGTCTCGATGGACCAGTAACTCGTCTCCACGCGAGACGAACAAAATAAAACAGAGAAGAGAGTTGGCCGTCTTAACAGGGTCTTGTGATACTAAGAGATAGAAATCGCGTTTTGTATAAATGATTTATATATAATAGATATATTGGGGGTGATATATAACAAATAGTATACATATATAAACTTTTTCGAAAGAGTGAGAGAGAGAGAGGGAAGCGAGAAAGAGAGAGAGAGATACGCTGACTTGTACGAAACACGAACACCTTAAAATTTTCGTCTACTCCAAAGTTTAATATATTTAGATCTAGTTGATCGATTTTGATGATTTTTTAAGCGTTTTTAAGCTGAATTATTTGACTTTTCAGCCTCTTTTTTATATTATAAATTAAAGTTCCTATCTGTCTATTATACGAGGGAAAGCAAAACATTGTTATTTTGGCGAAAGTTTAAAACGCTCTGTAGAATGTTTTAACAATTTGATGAATTTAAAAACGACTTTATCATTAAGGAGCTTCTTTTCTCTAGAGTTTGTTTTTTGATTAATCTTGATAGCATAGAAAAAAACAAAAAAAACGCTATTTTATAGGTTATAGGTGTATTAATGAGGGCCAAAAGAAAAACCGTGCTTTTAGTGCTAAAATTGTTATTAATTGTTACAGCCTTCTTCAAAAGCAAGTATCTCCAACAAAAATAAAGCTGTTGAGATGAAACAAAAGACAAAGTATCGAGAAAAGATGCATCTCCAAGATAAAGCAGTTTTTAAAATCCTTACTATGTTAAATCATTCCACAGGGTGTTTCAAACTTTCTCCAAAAAAAAACAACATTCTGTTCTCCTTCGTATAAAAAACAAATAGAAATTTTAATTTTTAATTCAGAAAGAGGCTGTAACAATTCAAATGATTTAGCTACAAATTGCCTAAAAATTCATCGAAATCGGTCGACTAGAACAAAAAATATTTAACTTCAAAGAAGATGAAAATTTTAAGGTTTCTGTTTTTCGTACAGAGGTCTTAAGGAGAGAAAGATACTACTACGTTTTTTAATTCGAGGTTAGTTTTATTACGAATGAAGACTGCGAAAAAAATATGCCGGACATTGCGCTAGTCATGCTGACCATAATAATATTGTTGTTGATCTGTGATTGGAGTTAAAATCGATGCGCGCGGCTCTGGCGCACGACTGAGATGTCAAAAAAGTAAACTAACCTCAAAAATCGCTGATTTTTGAGGTTAAGTTTGATGGAGATCGTCTCAACGCGACGTACTGTATGCTAGAGAGCTACAGCATCGAGGCGAGGTCGAGAATTTGATAGGAATATGATTGATTTAATATTTTGGAGGATATTTTATTTGAATTTTGTTGAAAATTGTAGATAGGTCGTCGTAGTTTTTTATCAAAAAAACAACACATTTTTCGTCAGTATTATTGATTTGTTCAAACAGCAGTACAATATTAATTATCCAATTTAACAACAGCCAAAAAAAATACACACTCCTGAAAAAAATATATTTTTCTGATGTATCAATCATAATCATTTATTATTTATCTATATAACATTTTGTGAAATAAATTATCTTCACATTTTGATATGGCAAACGTACTAAAAATTTAAGAAACAGCACAGTATAGCGTATATTTACACGTCCTAAGAAACATTTTGTGTGCCACTGAACAAAAATAGTTCCAGCGCCCATATTTTGACATAAATCCGCAAAAAAAGTTTGATTACCACTGGTATAATTAGTTCAAATAAACCATAAGTGTTTTAATTTTGCTTTTAAACAGCAGATATAACGATGCTATTTTGCTATATTATTTATAATATTCAATTTCTTTGCAGTTTATCATGTACTAATAGCAAAGCTTGAGTAAAATTATTTTACACGTAGTGAAAAAACATTTTGTGTGCCACTGAAAAAAAATAGATCCAGCGCCTAATTTGACATAATTTGTGGAAAAAGTTTGATTGCCACCTGTTTAATTAGTTTAAATGAACCATAATTGTTCGTTATTATACTAGGATAATAAGAAACATGGTTTTACTTGTTTAAACAGTAATTATAGCGAATATTTCATAAAATTACTGGAAATATTAATTTTTATTACAGTTTATCGTTAAACCCAACAAAACTTGAAATTTAATGAGATTTCTACGTCTACCATGACGCCTTTTTTCTTTCTCCCAAATTAGTTGAAATGTACTAAACCTTTAAACGTGTGTTTTAAAGGTCCAGAATGCATTTTGAAGTCGAATTTCAGTTTCAATAATATACAGGGCGTGTGAAACTAACTCAGAGTGTTTAAGTATGTTTCTTAGGATAGTATAAATTGGGGAAAATGTTTAAAAAACTTACATCACTACGTTACGTTTGCATTTTTCCTATCAAAGTCTCGATCTTCGTCGTACTAGAAAAGAAATTTTTCAAAAAAGTATATAAAATACATTGAAGTGCCATTTTTTTTCGGTTAGTTTCTCAAACGTTGTTTACACACACATTAATTTTTTTAATTTTAAGTTTTAAGGTTATATTATTAATAAGGAAAATTTATACTGAATAATAACACATTTCTTTTTGATATAAATAGTTTCAAGTAATTTATTTAAAAAAGACACACACACTATGATAACCTTAGCCAGTCTTCCTTAACATTTGTTTAATTTTTCTCCGTATACTGGGTGTCAAAAAATATTGTACTAGCCGTTTTTCAATTATTTTTATCGAATAAATTTGAAATTTGTCTTTAAGAAACGTTTGCGATCAATATGACGGAATTACATATAGCAATGACGTCAAACAACAGATTGATGTACCTTACGTTAAAAAAACGGCGTCAGAGTAGGCTTGGAAATGGAGATTTCTGTCGTTTTATATGTGAAAATGTGGAGAATGTAATCGATTGTCATTTCCGAGCCAACTTGACGCCGTTTTTTTTCTAACCTAACGGTTTCGTCCAAATTTCAAATTTATTCGACAAAAAAATCGATTAAATGGCAGTGACATCCGACATATATCTATAATTTTAATGATTAATACTCAATATTTCTCAATTTTTTCTTTACCGTCCTTTATTTTTTTTTGTTGTTGTTCCCTTAGAGACTGATTATAAAAAGGAAATTTTAGGAAAAAAAACTTGAGTTCGTAGAATTCGGACCAATCAAATCGATGTCTGTGTAGATTGAGCTTAAAACACTAAACGCCTTACGTGTAGTCTCGGCTTTAGCAATTTTTTATAAATAAATTTATTTTTTGTTAAAAGATTCAAAAAAATATACTAGAGTAGTTTTAAATAAAATCTTTTAACAGGAAATGTCAAGTTATTGTTCAGAAGAAAACTGTTTTTTTTTGTGTTTTTATTTTTAGTGTTTTAAGACTGAGAATTAATTGTTTATTTTTTTTTTAATTTGGTTTCTTTAGAATAAAAACAAACAGTGAAAAAGAAAGAAATGTGTGAATTTATAAAGGGTGGTTCCAAAAAATTAATTTTCCAAAATAAAAAAAAACTTGCATTTATTTTTTTTTAATTTATAATAATTATTTGAGTAATAATTTTGAAAAAATTTGTATTTTTTGGAGCTTCTTTTTTAGATCAATGCAATCGAACCGTAAAGAGTTCTCAAGATATTATATTTTTGTCTATATTGTGAATTTAAGTCAAATCAAAAGTAATAATTTAATATAATACGATTATTTTTTTTTTCGTTCTATAGTTATGTTAATTATTTAGTTTAATATTTTTAATTTAAAATTATACGCTTCGAGATATAGGATACTGTACTAGGTATATATGTGTATGTGTATAGGAACTATTACTTTTTGATTTGATGAAATTAAATATGAAGACATGCCGCTTTTATATAAAATTTTTAGGCAAAATAAAATTAATATTGTAAATAATTTAATAATTAAAAAGGAACTATTCATTAGCTGTACGAAAATGTAGATATTAAATTTTTTATTGAAAAGAGAGACAGACAAAAAAATCAAGAAATAAATTGTAGGAAAAAAAATAAAAAAAACTATTATTTATTTGTAAAGAAAAATCGACAGCATTTCTTTTTTATTTTCTTTTTGTTGTTCAAAGTGATGATAAGGTTGAGAGTAAATTGAAGTAAGAATCATCCATGTACTGCCAAAATTTATTTTTAAACAAGCTAAAAAGAATGAAGAAAGAAAATAAAAAATAAAACTATTTGAATTTTTTTCAGAGGTATGATCGCGGTTTATTTATAAGACAGTGTTTTTAGTGTGTTAAGTGCACAAAACGAGTATAATTGTCGTAATAAGTTGGATGAAAACACTAATTATAAATAAATAAAAAGCTATACCAAAAGTAATTTTCGTATTATTAGTCCAGTCCTGTGTATAATTTCCGATTACCAAACAACTGTTGGTCCGGCGGAGACTGTACGACGTTTTTTATCGTGTATGAACCGAATTACACCGAATGATCGAAAAAAATGGCGTCCAGTTGGCTTGGAAATGACGATCGATGACACACACACACATTCCCCATATAATTTTACATATAAAATGAGAGGGATCTTTATTTCATGGCCATCGCTGTTTTTTTTTTTCGATGATTTTGTGTTATAATAATTTCTAGATGATATCACATACAGGGTGGTCCGAATTGTTTTCGGGAAACTGAGACAGCATATTCTGCAGATAAAAACATGTAAAACAGTTCTTATACACTTATGTCCAAAGATGTTTTTTTTTCGTGATTCAGGGTGTACAAGTTTCATTTTTATTTCGATATTTTTATTTCCAAATAATTTCTGAGTGTGTCTGAGTGTTTTTCGATATGAGAAATTTGATTACGATGTCGATATGACTCCTATACCTGAACTTCTACTGTAGCTGGTGCTACCTACATGTTCTTTAAGTGATTTGAAGAATAATAAATTTTCGTCCCTAGACCCTACGTCCCTACCTGTATTCCTGTATTAAAACCTAAGATTAAAACTACTGAGTAAAAAATATACTTTTTCACCGTTTTTTAAACTAAAAAAATTCTCTTGGTATTGAAAAAATCGAAATAAAAATGAAACTGCTACACCCTGTGTCTCGGAGAGAAGTCTCAATCTGTATTATATAATAATAAATTATTTATTTAAGATTTTTTTATTATTTCCTCTGTTATATCTTTATACTTGTTTATGTACAATGTTTATTTATATTGTTGTCTTTGTCTAATAATTATCCATAGATTATAGTATGGACTCTTTCCTTTTGATTACTTTTTCTTGGACACTGGCCACATGACCTAAAAGCAACTAAAAGTTCAAGCCAGAGAATAGATACATGTTCATGCCATTTAAAAATGAAGAAGAAAAAAATATATGACAAATCTGTGGTTGCCTATGGTTTAGGACCATAAATATGAAAAGAAGAAGAACGTTACTTTCTTTCTGTGGTTACTGTTCTGTTCAGACCTGAAAAACGAAAAAGAAGAAGAGCGCCGGTAGCGCCAATATAAAAAAAAGTGGGAAAATTTTGAACTAAAGTGTTTCCAAGGTTGCCAAAATGTTAGCGAAGTTCTGAAACTGACCCGAATCAAGATTTCTGTAAGTATAAAACGAATTGGATGGACAGCTACAAAATTATGATAAATCTAGAAAACACATAATAAACATTGGTAAAATTTGTTTCGGTAGAATACATTTTTTTTTTCTTTTGGACAGACCATTATTTATGCAACAAAAAGTAATAGTTTTTTTACAATGTATTAAATCTGACAACGTTGAGAGTATAATATTTTCCGTTCGCAGCGTGTTATGTCGTTCTTACAATTTTTCCATTTCTTTATGGAAAAAGTAATTTTTCTGAACATTATTTAAGTGTATTCTGTTCGTTAAGGCCTGTTTAATCTCCTGAAAATGTAAGTACCCATGATTTTGTGTGCTTTCTATAGTTTTTTTCACTTTCAAATATTTCAATTACATCATCATTAAAACCTGATACAATTTTCCTTTTTTCATAATTTTCTTTTTCTAAATTGAGTATATGGAAATATAGATACTCTCTTTGATAACCCTATTGTACATTAAAAAAATGCTAATGC